AGGGGACCGGAAAGAGGCTCTGACTTCTTCCTGTGTATCCCAGGAACCCTGACGGGACTATTCAGAAGGTACTGGTCTGCAGGGCTGGTGGTCCATGTCTATAATCCCAGCACTCTGGGAGGCTGAGGCAGGAGGATCAAAAGTTGAGCCCGGCATGGGCAACTTAGCAATTTAGCGAGAACTTGTCTCAAAATAAAACATTAAGAAAGGGCCGGGGATGTACTTCAATACAAAGGCCCTGGGTTCAATCCCCAGGAAGGATCACATAACGAAAACCAAAATACTTGCCAGTGGTCAACCACATTCAACGTAGAGACAAACTAAAGACCCCAGGTCTGCCTTAACCTGCTGGCTATGAAACAATTATATGGGTCTCCTAACAAGAAAAATGCATGTCATTTTCAGTTGAATGTTCTCAGCCTTCAAACGCAGGCCTTTGTTCATTCTAATGCGCCTACATCTGCACAAAAGTTCATTTTCAGAGCTGTGTGGCAGGGGCCTGTGCACAATTCCAGTTATTGTGTAGAAAAGCTGTGTGCCTTTTTATTCACAGAGAAAATAATATATCCAAGATGCTCATGTGGGCATTGTCGCTCACACTGCTGCTGTCTGCTCTTTCCCAAGAAACAATGCACATCTGTGGGGATTGCTTAGATTTTGTTATACTACTTTATTTTCCATTTCAAATGGCTTTTCACTAAGTGGGAGAAAGATGAGTTAAATTCTTGAGCTTTTTTTTTTTTTTTTTGTACCGGCGATTGAACTTGGGACCTTGCACTTGTAAGGCAGGCTCTGGAACCACTGAGCTAAATCCCTGGCCCCTTGAGTATTTTAAATAGTTGTTATATAGTCTGATCTTACCTCGAGGAAACATTTCAAAGTTTAGTGTAACATTAATATTATTCTGGCAAGCTAACACGAACTAACAAACATAAAATAAATACTTCAGTGTGGATTATGAAGCCAATACTTAAGGCCAAAGACATTAGCCCTTCCAGGCCTGAATGATTTCTGTGTGGATTTTGTTTTAGAAAATCACTTCTCAGGGCCAGGGATTTGGGTCAGTGGTTCTGCTGCCTGCCTTGAAAGCACAAGGACCCGAGTTTGATCCCTGGTACCAAAAAAAAATAATAATAATAATCACTTCTCTTCCAACACTACTAAACTACACACTAAAAGTGGTTCAAGATGGTAATTTTTTTTTTTTTTGGTACCGGGGATCGAACTCAGGTCCTTGCACTTGCGCAGAAGGCGGCAAGACCACTGAGCTAAATCCCCGGCCCAAGATGGTAACTTCTATGTGTATGTTACATGTATTTTTTCAAAAAGCCACTTATCTTTTAAATCTTCAAAACTTGGAAGTATTCATGGATGAAGCAGTACTTCTAGTAACCGTTTGAGAGACCTTGAGGGTTTGTCCTCATATAAACCCCGTCCTTCGGGTGCCGATGCCGCATCTATAACCCTACCCAGGATTCTCAGAGATTCACAGCATGAAGAGAAACCTGGTCACCCGAGGCTTTAGGATGAGAATTCAGCATTCCACACGCGAGCAGGCTGACCTCGAGGCTGGGTCGAACTCGCACTACGGCCCAGCACGGTGTTCAAAATGCAGCCTGAGGCCTGAAAGTCCAAGTTCTGGAAAATAGGTCTCCAGTAGCATCGGTCCGCATCTCACCACGCTGCTTCCTAGCAGCAACCACTTTCCTTTTCCCTTTCATCTCCAAATCTGTTACTTCTTAATCCTTCGCGCATTAGCAACTGTTGCAGGAGGCGAGGGCTGAATTTTCAAGGCTGTTAACAGGCACCTCATCCCCTGCCTCCCGACCAAGCTGCCGTGAGCTCAGTAAGCCTGCGAAGCGCCCAGCACAGCTGAGCCACACAGGCTCATCTTCAGGGCTCTCTGGACCATCTTTCAGCCCGAAACAGCTCTGGGTGTGTTCTGCAGGGACCGTTGTCAGGCCTGGGCTGGGCACGTGTCTGAGCCTCCCGCCGATTCCCTCCTGCTGGGCCCTGCTCTCCCGTGCCCCCCCACATCTTTTTCCTAATCTCATTTTGCTGTAGCAATAGCTTCCCAGGAGGGGTTATGGAAGAAACAGAAGAACTGGAGTGTCTAGAAAACTTTCTATTCCACCTACTTGCAGATTTCTCCTCAGAATTTTTAACATATTCATCTATTTTCACCTCATTTCTGACACTGGCACATTCAGTACGTCAGTCCTCTATGGAACCTGTATTTTTTATTTTCTTCGTACTGAAATTCAGTGATGTAGCTTAGTGTGGGTCTAGAGTATTTTTTTGTTTTGAGACAAGGCCTCACCATGTAGGCCAGGCTGGCCTTGAACTCAGTAATCTTCCTGCCTCAGCCTCCCAAGTGCTGGGATTACAGGCGCACATCACCAAGCCTGGAAGTGTGGGTCTATTTTTAACTACTGTGCAGGGCTTTGGAAACAGATGTCCTTGTTAAATCTTCTTGAATTATTTCATTAATAACTTGCTGTTTCTTATGGGATATTTATTATTCAGGTGTGGACTTTTGTACTAGTCTTTCCTATTTTCCACATATCTATACTATTTTGTGGGTGATTTTCTCAACCCTCTGTTTAGTTTTTATTTCTATTCTCATTTACAAATCAGGTTTTGCTTCCTGAATATTCTTTTGTTTAGTTTAATGGAGAAATACTTTACCATTTCAAATCTTGATGATATTAGTGGCATTCTTTGCAGGCGTTTTTGCCTCTGTGGGCCCACACTCCGCTGTATGGATTTCAGGCCTGGCTCATTTCCTGTTCTGAGCCTGCCCCTTCCCCAGTGGTGTCCCTGGAAGGCCTGGTGATTCTTGGCTGTCCAAGTGTACTTTAGAGGGGACAGAAAGCTGGCTGGAAGGTGGCATTACAGCAGGCTTTGTTGAGGGTGGCATTTTTCACTGTGCTGCTTCCCTGGTGTGTTCCTTACTTTGTTCTCATTCCTGAGACAAAATAGCACCCAAAACTAGAGGCGAAGGGGTTTATTTGGTTCACAGTCTGTGGAGGTTTCAGTCCATAATCGGCTGGCTCCGAGGCAGGGATGGCAGAGGAGAAACATGGCAGGCAGAGGAGAAGCATGGTGGGCACAAGGCAGCAAAGGCAATCTAAGTTTTACAGCTTTTTTCTGCCCCTTTTGTGCCACCCAGACTTAGAGAAGGCAGCATCCACGCCCTTAATCCTAGTGCCCTTGAACCTAGCATTGCACCACGAGAATCAATCCCAGCTTCACACACTCTAGATCCAGCCTATGACCACATGAGGCTTTGGGGGGACATCTAGACCCAAACTTGGGGACCCCAGTATCAGCTGTTACATTTTTGACAGGAGAACCTTCTCATTTCCTTGTTAATCATAAGCCTGGCTACCGGCTTACAGACAGCCAAGACGTGTGTTATGCTCCCTATCAGTCCAAGAGAACTGCCTACCAAGGGAAGAGCAGGGTTTTAAAGGGTAACTCATGGCCAAGGGAAAGTCCCCAAGGAGGAACAGATTTTGCTGCAGGTGTGGCTACAGCCCAGTGGACGGCAGAGAACTGTTGGACTGTCCTCAGTGACAGCCGGGCCTGGCACCAGGAGAGCAGGAAGTGACCCTTCGAGTTGCAGGGAGGGTGACAGGTGTGGCTTACGTACAAAGCTCAAGGGTGGTGTTGCTCGGTATGGCGGGGCTGATGGCAGCTGACCCGGACTCCCTGTGAGCAGCGGTAATGAGAAAGTCTCCCTGTCCCAAGGCCAGGTGCCGCCGCCCAGGACCTGGAACCTAGACCTGAACTCTCACCCTGGTGCACCTGCCATGGAACCCAAGTGACCTGCATCCGTCAGTGCATCACGCCACAAGGTCGGTGCTATGTCCAGGACCCCATGCTGGTCTTGCTGACAGTGTCTTCACTTGATGGACGCCTTTATTCTCTTCTGCATCCCATAGCTTAGGTGAGCTGTCTTTCTTTTCAGTGGGAATACCCTTTCTGTTTCCATTTATATTTTCCTGGGAAGGAGAAAAATGATTTGAAAGCCCACAGAGCACGCCTGAAAGATAATAACCAAATAATAAAGGGAAAAATACAGACGCAGCAAAGCAACTCTGTTTTGAACTTGCAAATATAGGAGAAGGGAACCAAACCTATCATCTTTCCTATACAACTATACCAGGGGTAACCAAAGAGCAAAAGGGGCAAATGTCTGTACGGCAGCTAACAAAGGAAGGAAAGCTGGAATACTGCCATTCTACAATCCCAGTTAAGCTGATGGTTGTGGGCAACACCAACAGTAACCAGTAAGCGAGCATGAGACCGGACACTGTGTGGACCCGGTGGACTACACCCCCTTCCCAACAAAATAAAATACATAGGTGACTCTCAGAAGCGTGGATCCAAAACAAATCACGGAAAATACAAAGAACAGAGAAGTATGTTAAATGATATGAAAGGGATTCGCCAAGCAAAATGTGGGGAACTCCATTTGGACTCCTTTAAAATAGTCTGGGGGTGAGTTGTACAAGCAGGGTACAGGTGAAGCAAGATTAGCTGAGTTGATTCTTGTTGAAATGGACCGGTACTTGGGATTCATCCAGTCTGCTTACAATTAACATTTCCACAAAAATGTTAAAAGACTACACCAAACACAACAAATCAATCGCCCCTTGAATTTAGGATCAGTCTTTTTATTTATCCTCTATCTAGACCTGAAGAAGTACTGGGTTAAGTACTCGAAAAACTACTTCAACACCAAAATAACTTCTACACTGGTTGATAAAATAGGACTCAGATGAGCAGAACAATGTAGATTAATGTGAGACTGGAATTCATTCCCTCTCTTAATTTTTCAGCCTACATAGTTAATATCTGTAGTTAAAAGGCTAACACATTAGCAAACAAATTGCTGTATATATGAATATGACATCACTATTCTGTCAAGGCACAGGTCATTCAGTGATGTAAAGTCAACCTAATATCTCATCAAATAAATTTCAAGAAAGCCATTACATTTCAAAAATGTTTCCTTTTTATTTAGACATAAAACACATTTACAGCATGCAGGTTAACTTAAAATTATATGGCGTCTTCCCAAACCAATTACCTTTGAGTATATTTTCAAGCACTGAAATAAACCAACATATCCACAAGTAGACTCAGACTCTCTACTGTCACCTCATGGCAAATTGAGTTACAAAAAAATTGAGAATTATGCACAGTAGTTTTAAGTTAAGCAAATAACTTAATTAATTGATCACCATGAATAAATATTACTTTTATTTCACTGAACTTCTCTTCTGAACTACTTATCAATACCATTCAGAGGAACACTAATATATCCAGTCCAAAAAAAAAAAGACACCACAAATTGAAATGTGTCAATATTCTAGATGATCAGAAATTTCCATTTATAAGAATAAATCCTGTGTTTAATGACCTACTTCGGCAAAAAGAGCAGTTCACTGAAAACAAATTTATGAAATTCTTGGTGTATTTTATGAAAGTTTGAAATTATAAATAGAAAAGAACCATTAAGATATTTTAAAAACTTAGCATCATGTATTCTGAACCACATGCTCATTACAATCCATTGTTACACAGCACCGATAACCATGATACGTCTTACAACTACAGAATCAGGTAAGAGGAACAAAATCATTTCCTTTAGGAATATTGCCAAAGAAACAAGTTTTCATTTAAAAAAAATAGAAACGTCTATGTGGATACAGCCAAATGACTCTGCATTTAGGAAACTATCATCATAAAGAGGCTGTAGCACTTTCTTTGTTAACTGTATTACTTTGATCTTGCTGCACCATGCTTTCAACTTCTGGAGCTTTCTTTCTTTAGTGTCCTAAAAGCAACACAATCATTTTAAAGGCTGCAGACTACAACAGCAAGAATTTCTGACTGTTAAAAAAATAAATAAATTTCTTTCAAATTAAAATTATTATAAAAGTGGAGATTACAATAGTTAAGGAAATAGAAAAATAAGCCAATTATGATCTGAGTCTTCGGACTATGGCTCCAATTTATTAATACAAATATCTGTGTATAAAACTTTTTCAAAAAGTTAATTCTGCCAGCCAGACCCTCATACAGAACTTTCCAAGTCTCTGAATTGACTGAATGACCCTATAAACCCATTCTCTGCAAGTTTCTGCTACAGAGCTATAGTAACCTCCATCACTGATGAAGCATATACTGGAATCATTTCCCTATTATTTTTATAGTTGTCAAAAATAAACTGCTGACGTAATTTAATCATCTGAGGAAGAAGTGGCAAACTAGGCACACAGTACTAATTACAAAATCACGAGCAATGGCCAACAATATTATTAGAGGATTATCCGTGACTTGCAAACCATTCAGTATTTCTATACTAAACAAGAGAAATTATAGTGTGTGATTTAGTGTAGCAGGTTAAAAAAAAACTCATAAAGATTTCAGACCAAAATTTACCTATGTATTTTTAATTTTACTGTATCTGTCCTGTTTCTTCAAATTTTCCTCAATTTTCAAAGCCTATAAATTTATATCAGCCAATACGGTATCTAACTAAAATTATGTTTAATGCCATAATATCTTAATTTTACTATATTAAAAATGATAAATTACTACCTGGCCAATTCCTCTATTAGCTGGCAGGCTCATCAGAAAGAAGCAGGGCATTTTTATTCCATCAGCTATGGTAAGTACAGAATAGGAAGAAGAGAGATGCGATTCCTTTTCCAAGTCCTCTCTTTAACTGAGACTTGCTTTTGATAAATGAAATCTTCCCATTCCAAATAATTGGGCAACAGGCACTGCAGGAGACATGATCACTCGCTCAGTCTCAAACGCCTCGCCAGGCAGCTGCAAGGTTTCCATGCTCAGACAACAGTTTTCAGAAGCAAACACCAGAGACAATACAAATCATTTCAACCCTGATTTCATCGCAAACGATTTTAAAATACAGTACTGACCTAATATATTTTGTGGGCATGTAGTGTTTGTTGTAAGTGGTAAAATTTAAGACATTTAATCTAAAATTTTCCCTAAAAAAATTTCCATTTTTCCTAAAAAAAGGAAGACATTTTAGTAGAAAAAGAAAAACAAGCAGCAGAAGTGGCTAGGTAATTGAAACTGAAATTAAAAAACAAACATATAAGCAAAAAGCAAATACAAAAAAGCACAGTCCTATAAGGAACAGTCAGCTTGGCACAGTGAAGACTAAATGTAAGACACAAAAGACAAACTGTGTAATAAATAGGGCCACAGTTGTAAACTGTCATTCTCCCTCCAAGACGCTGAAATTGCACTCTAGTTCTCTTGGGAAGCAGCAGAGTTTACAGGAAGAGTGGGTAGGAAACAGCTGTACAGGGCAGGTATCGTGTATACATTTTTTAGAAAATTATAATTCTACAATCCCAAGGGAATAGAGGTTATAGTCACTGAATGACTGATACTATGTCCTCTTCATGCTTCAATTATTTTTCAATACCTAAAAATGAGGAAGAATAGAGAAATCCTTTTTAGTTTTAACTCATGTTTCACATAATCATGAAAAATGAAGGAAGTAAAATATGTCAACAGTTTATAAACATTTTAGCCATAGCTTTGACCACTTTCCCCAAAATTTAAACAAAAAGCAGTATTAAATGATTTGATTTCTTCTCCTTTTATTTACCTTTTAAGTAGCACTTTACAAGTAGAAAAATGTTTAAAAGGATTTCTGCCCTTCAGTTGTTTTTCCTTCTTCCCCAATAAAGCTATAGGTCAACTGAATATATGGATTACATTTATAGTAAAAAGAAAAAGATGGTTATACTTTGAACCATTACAGTGGTTAGTGACATTCTTAAAGACAACTAACTAGCCGGTAGGTGTCAAGGTAAAAATAAGGGGTGGGGCTGAAGGGTCAGAGACAGACAAATGTTTATGGTAAGAAAAGTGACAGTGAAATTAACCACTGCAGTTTTTGTTTATTGTCCATTCCTGGAGCCATCTGCCATGCTGTTACTGAACCTATTTACCTATGCTTTTAGTAAACTCAACCTATCCAGAGTACTGTGCAAGACAGAAGACCTGACATGAAAAATTGGGAAGTATTGGTATTCTCTCTCTCCCTTTTTTTTTGGTGCCGGGGATCAAACTCGGGACGTTGCGTTTGCCAGCCAGGCACCGGAACCACTGAGCTGAATCTCCGGCCCTGGTATAAATATACTGTCATTTTCCCCCGAAAATAAATCCAGTGTTCTGAAATGTTTTTAACATTTAAAAATAATATAGAATTTCTCTGCAGAGTATTTAACTCTTCAACAATTTAGCACTTAGCCTTCCAACCTAGTTGGAGATTGATTGGTTTTAAGTGCTTTAAACATAAGAACCACTCTCCTTTTGACCAGCTATGAAATTAACATACAGATGGGAGGGGGCATTTTTGAAGCAAGTCTCTATGCATTGACTTCAGGCCTCCCTAGTGTTGGAATTACAGGTATGTGCTATCATGCTTGGCTAACAATTTTTTTTTTTTTGGTACCAGCAATCAAACTCAGGACCTTGTGGTTGCCAGGCAGGCGCAGTACCACTGAGCTAAATCCCCAGCCCTAACAATGATATTTTTATATGATAATTTTCAAGTCCTGACAACCTAGTTTAGCTGGGTTCTCTACCTCTCATGTGCTAAACTGTCACCAGTACACCAGGAATAGCTCTATGTATTTCTAAGAAATTAGAGAAATGGATGGGCCATTTTCAGTTTGGATGGGAATTTACTGACCAATCCACAGACAATTAAGGCAGTTATTGTATTTCCATCTTAGCCACAAAGAACGACCCTCACCCAAAAGTCCCAGAACAAGGTGTTAAACTGGTGACTCGTAAGCAGACAAGATAAAAAAGGAAGCTTTCCTTATTTTTGGGCAATACTAGGGACTGAACCCAGGGCCTTCAACCCCAGCCCTTTTGAAATATTTTTTATTTGCAGAAAGGACCTCTGGGCTTGAACAATCTGTGAGTACAGGTGTGCAGCACCATTCCTAGCTAGTAATGACATCTTAACTCATGTAATTCTCAAGAACTATTTCCATTTGACTAGTAAAAGGGGCTCAAAAAAGCTATTTTCCAAAGGAGAACAAAATACAGAAACCATCTGTAATGGGCAGGAAACCAACTATTTCTGTCTACTAAAGTGACCCAATATTAACTATGATATAGTCCAGTCCAAAATGTTCATGTCAATCCAATCAATGCTTCTGATCTACATTTCAATATATAGGGAATAGAAGGGACAGAAGACCAAGGGAATTAGATATGTCAACAATCAGACACACCCAGAAGGAAGTATATGCTCCAGACCACTGGCCTCTTCCTTTACTGTCATTTAAAAGAGGGACTTAAGTAAGTACATGAAAAAATGTCCAGCATTATAGAAATGCAAATTATAACACTGACATTCCAACTTATTCTAGTAAGACTGCTCACTGTCAAGAACTCAACAACAAATGCTGATGAGATTGTGGGGAACAAAGAACCCTTATTTGACCCATTTGGTTCCACTGACCCAGTTATATCTCTTTGGTCTATCCTCTTAGAGAAGCTAAAATCATCCTACTACAATCATACATGCAAACCCATGTTTATAGCAGTACAACTTGCAATATCAAAACCATGGAAGCTGCCTATATGCCCATCAACAGATGAATGGATAAAGAAAATATGATATATATATATAATACACACACACGCACACACACATCATGGAGTACTACTCGGCCATAAAGAAGGATACATGAGTCATTTATAGGAATATGGATGGATTTCGAGACCATAATGCTAAGTAAATATGACGCGGCCTCTCTAATTTAAGAGACCCAAAATAAAAAAAAATTTAAACAGCAAAAGAAAGAGCCATGTTAAGAAACAGGGAGGCAAGGCAGACTGTAAAGTTGGGAAGGGGGTCTTGGGGAAAGAGAGCAGGGGGTAAAAAAATGATCAAGAGATATGTATATGTATCAAATACTCAAGATGAATATAAACACTATGTATCACAAAAATGTACTAATTAAAAAAAAGAAAAAGTCCTATTCTAGGAAAAAAAGGAATAAGTAGAAAGAAGGGGTTAATCTAGATAAAACAGACAAGGGATAAAACCAAAGCAAACAGCCCTGGATTACGCCCTGGTTTAGAAAAATTCTCTGTACAAGACATTAAAAAAAAAATGGACAGAGGTTGGGGTTGTACCTCAGTGGTAGAATGCTTGCTTGGCACACAAGCCCTGGGGCTACTCCGCAGCAGCGCATGTGCACACGCACACAAACACACACACACACACACACACACACACACAGACAGAGACAGGAGAGGGCGACAGATCTGAATGTGAACTGACAGCAGACAGTTTTAGACACTGGTTTTGTTAGGTACAATAATGTTACTGCAGCTATGTAGGAAAATGGTGTGTTACAGAGACTTGTTAAGTCACGAATCTAACGGTTTTTTTTTTTTGGTACCAGGGATCGAACTCAGGTCCTTGCACTTGTGCAGCAGGCGGTGAAACCACTGAGCTAAATCCCTGGCCCAACGAATCTTATCTTTTCTGCAGAGGAATTTTTAAAAGAACTAAAATAAAGCAATTAAAAGTAGAACAAAGTTAGATTCAAATTTAGGTGGAACTCTGAAGTCCTTTTCATCATAGAACCCTTTTAAATTGATAGCTATTAACTAATCATACTGTAGAAGAGAATGTTCAGAGTATATTTCTAAGCTAAAAAGCAGGCACATGTACTAGAATAAATGTTGTATGTTACTTGAATAGTTATTAACAGTTCAAATTGTTTAATTAAAAATAAATACAAAATTCAGAAATCTGTTAGAAAAAATCATTCATAGTTTCTAATGGAAAAGGGACACAGAGATGCATTAAAAAAATAATGGCCCAATAAATATACATATAAAAATCCAACTTCAGTAATAAACCAATGAGATGATATTTTTGCTTATTAGAAGTTTTGTTTTATTTTGTTTTTGCAGTTCTAGGTATTGAACCAGAGCCTCCATGCTGTGCTGCTTCCCTAGCCGTCTTTTGAGTTTATTTTTTTTTTCCATACCGGGGATTGAACTCAGGTCCATGCGCTTGTGAGGCAGGCAGTGGAACCACTGAGCTAAATCCCCAGCCCAGCCCTAGCCTTCTTTTGAAGCAGGGTTCTACTAAGTTGCCCAGGGAGCTTGAACTTGCAATCTTGTCTCAGCCTCCCACACTGCTGCGATTATAGTTATGTACCACCACATACAGCTGGCTCTATTAGAAGTTTAAAACCATTAATACTCAATGCTGGCAAGGATGCAATAAAAGACAAAATTCTTAACTATTAGGTATTTTAGTGCAGTCTAAAACCTTAAAAATAATTACACTTTGTACTTTCTAGAAATAATCTAAAAGGTGATGAAGTATAAGAAAAGATGCTTCATATTTTAAATTTCATTATAGAATTTCAATTTTGGAAACAAATTAATATATTTTATTAAACTTCCAGTAAAAGTTGTAAAACATGATATATTTATTAGTCAGAATACTAAGAACTATTAAACATGATCTAATATGTTGGATTTAAAACCAGTAAGAACTCAACTCTGAATATATAGCATGAGCTGAGCCATGAAAACATAGAAATCATGCTAGTTACTTTTATAAAAGCATATACATTAAAAGAAAATCATGACACTAACATGAGAATTAAAACATTCCAAAAAAGCCGCCTAGCAACCAACAGCTCAACATTTCCAGGTATAGGTACGCTTCAAAAGCCAGACATGAAACACACACCTGTGAATATGCACACGTTTACACCTGCTTGCCTCCACCACCTCGAAGTGCTACTGGCTGGCTGTTCTGGACAAATGCGCCTCCTCCACGAATCGCACTTGGATGAGTTGGAGAAGCTGCTGGATGCTGCCCAGGACGAATAGGTTTAGCTAACATGAAAAACAAAGTCTGAATTAGAATAAGGCATAAGACACAACTGCAATGACTCTTACATCTTTTTTTTTTTTGAGGTGGAAGACAGGGTTCTCACTATGTAGCCCAGGCTGGCCTTTACTCATGGTGACCCTCCGGTCTCACCCTCCTGAGTGCTCAGATCACAGGTGTGTGCCACCACATCCAGCCCAAGTCTTTATTCTCTCTTCCTTCCTAATTGTGTTGATTTCGTACGTTAGAAATCAAAGCCAGCCAAATTCCACCAAGACAAAACATAAAATTCAGATAATGCTTTCAACTAAATCAAAGGGTTCAAACCAAGCATAGCTTAAGGGTTCCAGCATCCCCTTACTAACCAATCTGTGCAGAATGCCCTCTTCTGGCCATGTTCTTTGACCGGACTGCTTCCTTTATGCGGTCTACTTCTTGCTGATAGCGCTTGCGATCACGAGATGCATTTTCTTTGGCTTCTTTCAGTGCTGACTCCAAAGCTTTCACTCTCTCGGCTGTGGCTCGAAGTCGCTTCTCTAACTTAGGAAGTTCACAGCGAAGATCTGCATTGTCACGTACCAACTGGAGGCACACAAAGAAAACAGGGTTTCTTGCTTTAACAAACTGCAAGCATTTCATACTTATTCTATTAAATTTTTCCACTTAGCTAGTTAGGGAAGAACATGCAAGAACACACACATTCATACACACATTTCTCACAAAGATAGACTTCATTTTAGAGGACTGGACTGACTGGGTTGTTCTTTACCCCTGCTAGGCAAAGACAATAAACTAGAAAGTAGCAATTGTGCATGGTGCTTTCTTCAATAAAACTAATCTGGTGAAATGAATATCCTTTTAGGTACATTAAAAGCACAAGTAGCCTAAGTTTGGCAAGCCCCTTAGTAAGTGAAGACAAGAAAAGCAAGGGAGGTTGAGGCAGGAGGACTGCTATGAGTTCAAGGCCAGCTTGGGCTACATGGTGAGGTCAAGGTTAGCCTGAACTACACAGCGAGACACTCTCTCAAAAAAACCACAGCAAGCATCACTTCTTCAAGGAAAAAACCCTTCCCCATTATATATTTCTGAGAATGGGGCAATAAATATAAAAAGACCAAAAAAGGATAAACAAAAGATTGTATATTAACTGCAAAAACCTATCAAGTAAATTAAGAAAAAATTGAAAGTCCTGAATTTCTACAGAGGAAGAATACATGTTCTCTTTCATAATACAGTTGTTAAAAACATCAACTCCTCTAAAGTTGCAGCTTCTTTATATAATTAATTAACAATGAAGTGCCTCGGGGTATAAAAACCTCTTAGGACTCTGAAGGATTAAAATGCTTTCTGCTCTTCCATTTTTGACTCTTACAATGTTGCAGGCCCCACAGAACATATTCTTTATTACCTGCTTGTGCACCTTAGTGAGTTGTTCAAGATTATTTTCAAGAAAGGAGATTTTCTGCTTTTGGGCAGCACTGCCTCCAGTGTCATCAGAATCGATCTCGGCGCTCTGAGAAAAGGAGGTCGACAGGAGACTTTAAGGAGCAAAAAACCGAATCTGAATGACACACACTGACACGACAAAGTAGAATGATCTCATTTCTGACATGAATCATCACCTGCATCTGCAGTACTGTGTTACCTTTTTAACTCTGGTAGCCAAGTCCTGAACAAAAAGCTTGCGTAGATTGTGCAAAGTCTGAAGCTCTTTTGCCTTTAATTCAGAACAGAAATATTTTTGGAATCAGTTTTCAAACTCCAAATTAGCAGGTGGGGGCGGGGGGGGAAACCCATACAATACTCCCAATCCTGTTTATTTTCGTATTTTTCTTACCACTGTCTCTTCCAAACCCTTCAAGTCTTGTCGTGCTTGCTCTCGTCTGTCCTGCATAACCCTAGTGGCAGAGAACACACACACCCATGTATTATTATCTGATTCCAAACTTCTACCCTTATGTATAGCACAAGAGTTGACTCAAACCTTTTTTCATCTGAAAGGATTAGTTACTAAGCTCAAATGAGAAAGATACTTATATAACCTCTTAAACCTGTAGTTTAGAGAAACCATCCTCATGTAACAATGGAATGGAAGAGATGAAATAAAATGTAACAGAATTCAAATAAGAATGACTCAAATTTTTATTTTAAAATGTGCCACATGTAGCATTATACCACTATTTATCCAAAATGATATTAATTGGGAATTACAGTACTACAAACTGTCAGAGACTAACATTTTTACATGAAAATTATTCTAAATAAAACTGTGGCTGTAATTCAGAACAATCTTTATAAAATCAGCTCTGAACTGGACCTGATTGTATAACTGTTTTAATGAGAGCAACTGATTTACCAAGTGTCTCTCACAAACCGAAGGTATGTGGAAAATTTTAATCTTGAGTTTTCTACCTACTCAGATTCTATAAAACCGAGTATTAACTCCGCAAATGAGAAAAAGTAAACAGTTAAAACCTCTGAAAAGACAAAGCAAAACAATAATTGTATTTTATGAATAATCAAACCTGACAAATTTTCAGTTTGTGGTAGATATTAAAATTTTCTAAATTAATGTCACTTTTTAGGCATATTTTTATGATTGTTCTTAAGGTAATATGGTGACAAAGAGACAGCAAGCACATTTGTAAATCAGAGTCTAAAGCTTGAGTACACTGTTGATGAGACCTTGCTTTCCTTAATGCGAAGTGTGTGGTATAGTTATTTTGAGTTCTTAGACATAGATCAATTCAGAAGACTGATATGCCCAAGGGGAATACCTAGAATCCTCTAACATACTTTTTTACTTTTAAACGTTAATTACAACAATTACTCACGTAAGTTCATGTAGTTTTCTGCTCTTTTCCTGATCTGTAGCTTTCAATTTCTCATGTTCTACTCTTAGACGTTCTTGCTCTAACATCATTTTCTGGTTTTGGCTGACAAAAAGAGAAAAAAAGAGAACATGTAAGACAGGTTTAACCTCAGAGTTTTCTAAATGTCACATCAAAAATGATCACAAATATATTAAGTACTAAATTCTATAATCTTGTATTACAAATACCCAAGGCCTCTTCTGTCAAAGCCATACAATATTTTTTATATTCTGATTTGAAATGCTATTATTCTAGTCTCTGAACCTTTTCCTCTACTTCCAATGGATAGTAATAAGACCCATATCCCAAATTTTCTAATCACTTTGTTTTGATACTGTTCTCTGGTTCTTACTAAGAATCATTAAAGATCTCTAAGTTTTATTAAGTCTGTATAAGAATGCAGCTCCAGAAGTAGTGACAATGGCTTCCAGATATACTTAGATGACAACGTCTATTTAAAAATAACTTCTGAGGGGCAGGGATTTAGCTCAGTGGTTCCTCTGCCTGGCTCACAAGCACAAGGTCCCGAGTTCGATTTCCAGTACCAAAACAAACAAAACTTTTAAAACCTACACTTTCCAATTAAGCTTTTCTTTCAAATGATTTGTAAATTTTGGTACCTATTTGGAATGATGAGTTTAGACAGGATTTTGTTTCTTTTTCCTGAATATTTAAAACCAAAATATGTAGGAAAATTTTTCCAAAACTTGACCTAGACCTTAAAAGTTTTACTCATAAATGGGAAAATCACTTTCCCACTCAAAATTTTCATTTAAAACTGCAGGTTTTAAACAAGGATATATTGTTCATTAGTAACCTATTCCTCTGTCTTGTCAATCTTGCCCGATATAGTGGTGCATGCCCATAATCTCAGCACTCTAGGAGGATGAGGTAGGAGGATTTCAAGTTCAAGCCTAGCCTGGGCAACTTATAAAGATGCTGTCTCAAAATTAAATATAGGGCCGGGGATTTAGCTCAGTAGTGCCGTCGCCTGCCTCACAAGCACAAGGACCTGAGTTTGATCCCCAGTACCAAAAGGGTCTAAGAGATGTAGCTTGGTGCGAAGCTGCCCCAGGTTTAACCCCCAGTACACAAACGTACATACGTACACAGTCAAGCTTTCCATATGAGTTTCTAATGTTGAAGACAAAGAAGTATTATACTTACTCTTGAAGATCAGTTATAAGTTTTTCTTTTGCCTCAACTTCATCTCTCAAACTACTGATTTGTTTTTGATGAGTTTCCCTGTGACTCTGGATCTGCTGTTCAACAGCTTGCTACAATTTTTTGGAAAAAAGAATATTAAAGTCAGGCTAATGAAAATTAATAATGATGAATTAAGTCAATGGAACCCAATGTAACATTAAACTTGCCTTAACTTCATTTGCAGTCTGAACTTTATTTAAGTGCTCCTTTTCCATTTCGTGGACCTTTTCTGTGTAGGTAGGAAGGAAAACAGAAGGGCAAAATAAGCTTTAAGGCTTCTGTTTTGAACCAAGAAAAAATGCCTCATGAGTAGCATGTTCCTCAGCAGTACTCTAGAAGCTCAACGATACCTTGACCAGTATACTGAAGTTAAATTCACTGTGTTGACATGAAGGGAAATGAGAATGCTTGTAAGGTCCCTATGTTAAGATTTACATGCATCCACATACATAAAAACTTTGTAGCTTCACGGGCAATTCCTAGATTGGCTACTGACATATTCAAACACAATCTCAAAAATGTCAAAGCCAAATTAAACTGTATGATTTGCCTCTCTTCCCAAGTTATTCACATTCCCACTATTTTCTGCCAGCCTGACTATAAAAGTACAATGACGCTAAAGTGTAAAAAGAAATCAAGGGCCGGGGATTTAGCTCAGTGGTTCCGCCGCCTGCCTTGCAAGCAGAAGGACCTGAGTTCGATCCCCAGTACCAAAAAAAAAAAAAAAAAAGAAATCAATGTAGTTACAACTCATGAACAACTGG